GGGGACAGAAGCTTCTGCGCTCAGGGCTTCCCCATTGCTTCAATATAATATAACATCCTGATGGAATGCTGGACATAGTTGCCAGACTTTGTAACTATGAGCTTATCCAATCCTCATAAGAATCTTCAGGTGGACACTGTTACTGTGCCTGTTTCACAGATGGGGCTCAGAGAGTTTAAGTAACTTGTCGATGTCACACAGGTACTAAGTGGGGAGCTAGGAATCAAACCTAAGCAGTTGGCCACAGAGTCTATACACTTAACCACTGCAGGAAAAAAAAAAAAAAAAAAAAAAAAAAAAGGCAGGGGGGTGCTTAATTCAGCCTTAACTGCCATCACGGGCGTTTCTAGAACTGCACTGTTACTACAGCAGCCATACTCTAGCTATATGTGGGTATTTAACTTTAATTAAGTTTAAATAAAATTAAAAATCTAGTTCCTAGGTTGCACTTGCCACATTTAAAGGGCTCAATAACCACATCTGGTTAGTGGCTGCTGTACCTCGCGGCACATAGAACAATCCCACCCTTGCAGAAAGTTCTATGGCACAGCACCGTTCTAGATAACTTTAGAAAGTACTAGCCAAACATAAGACTTAAACTCAACAGTATCACGTGGGTTGTTTTTTTTTAAACGAAACACCACTTCGTAATGTTATTTGCAGCTAACACACCTATTTTTTTGAGACATACGACATGTCGTATCAGTCATGAAGTTCACAAAATATAAGCATCCACGCAGAATATATTCTAAGGCGACTTCACTTACACCGCTTCTCAGAGAAGCACGCAGTGTATTTTTTTGCCTACCGGCCACTGCTGGACCAGATTTGGGGTTCATACACGTGCAGGGTGGAGTTGCTCCAACACGAACTACCCTGATGGCTGTCTTGTGTGCACAGTACCATCGAGGTGGCTGGTTTCCACCAGGAAGGCAATGGACATATCAGTCCTCCCTTCCTACCCAGCAATCGGCTCCACGGTGCAGGAACCCCGGCGACCCGGCATCATCGCTTCAAGGGAGGGGTGCGGGGAGGGGCTGAGCTCTCGACAAAGCCCACAGGCACCTACCTGGGTTTGAGCTGTCTGGTTAGAGAACCCAGAGTCCCAGCCTTGAGAAGAGGGGGGGCAGAGCGGAGTGGAGAGGGGAAGACCAGAGAACAACGGACAGTTTAAACCCAGGTCTGGTGACCCTGGTGTAGGCACTGGCCGCTAGGAAGGAGAGAGAGGTGGGAGACTTAACGTTGCTTGGAGCATTCAAGAGGGCTTGGGGGATGTCAGAGCCGAGAGAAAAAAATAAAAAATCGGGAATATGTGAGCGGAAAGTTGATGTCTGCTTGCCCCCCACCCCCGTCCCGCAACAGCAAGTGTCACCAGCTAACAGTTGACATTTGGGGAGAAAGGCTGGGAGAAGATAGTCCAAGGCAGATTCAGAACTCTGGATCCACATCAGCTGTTCTTCCAGAATACCCAGGTACCTACCTGCCCCTGGCTTCCCCTCAGGAAGCTGCCACGCACTCTCTGCTCAGCCTTCCTGGAGCTCAGCTATGCCATCACCCCCAACCTGAAGGCAGGGGAGGCCCAGGCCCCGGGGGCAATGCCTGAGTGGCACTGAAACCATGACCGTCAGCTGACCGGAAACTATAATGCACTTTTACCCACTCATCTCATTCTTGCCTGGATTGGGACTAAAAGGCCCATAACCCAAACAGGGAAGGGGCAGAGTAAGGTTGGGAGCACATAATACACCAAAATGATCACCTGGGTTTGACATATTTAAATGGCTTCCCTGCGGGGCGCCTGGGTGGCTCAGTGGGCTGGGCGTCCGACTTCAGCTCAGGTCACGATCTCGCGGTCTG